AATTTATGTATCTTTACCCCTACACACACACACACACACACACACACACATATATATATATATATATATATATATATATATATATATATATAATTACAGAGGATCCATAAGAATCCATTCGGTTATTATTTTTCATGTATATACAAATATGGATCTTTTAAGACCCAAGTTGTCTTTAATAAATATAATCTATTTATCCAGACGAAAAAAAAAGAAAAGAAATATTTTAATATTAAAAAAAGGGAGAAAGAAAATTTAAAAAATCAATATAAGGTTTTTAAAAATTGGGGAAGAGGAGAAAAGGAAGAAAAGAAGGGCGAATTAAACATGAGCCGATAGGGTAACCTAGAAATAATTTTTATTTGAGGGCTGAAAACTTATAATACAGGGTAAGGAAGTGAAGAAATCAGAATTTAATTAGCTACAGTGAATTTTTTGAGTCATCATTTTCGACGGCAAAATAATCATATATATATATATATATATATATATATATATATATATATATTCATGAATTATTCACACAAAAACTAATGCAAAGGTTAATGATTTAATCGGCGAGAAAAAATCCATCATCGCAAACAATTCAAATAATATACAAAAACCTCCGAATCCGTTATGAATGAAATGATCCTTGTTTATATAAATTTCTGCCGTATTAGTTCTTATTTTTACTACAAGCTTTCGTCTGTTCCTACAGACATCTTCAGGTATAGAATAGATGTTGTTCTTGTTTTTCTCTTAGTAATAGAGGACAACGAAAATATATGTATTATTGTTGTATCCGAAAATGCTATTGAAAATGAGTTATTGTTTTTGGAACGCGCAGAAGCAACGCTGAGTTTGATTTTAAATTTTTAAAGGTTGTGCGTTCATATGAAAAAATATGGTGATGAACAAATTTTTACTGGTAAATTTTCTGTCAAAGTGGCATGAACTATACTGTTCAATAATTACAGTAATGTCGCACTTATTATCCAAAAGTCGCACTTGGATCAGTTATTTAAATTACGATAAACGTGCAATCAATTTACAAATTCATGAATTATTCACACAAAATGCAAAACAGACGAAAGCTTGTAGTAAAAATAAGAACTAATACGGCAGAAATTTATATAAACAAGGATCATTTCATTCATAACGGATTCGGAGGTTTTTGTATATTATTTGAATTGTTTGCGATGATGGATGATTAAATCATTAACCTTTGTATTAGTTTTTGTGTGAATAATTCATGAATTTGTAAATTGATTGCACGTTTATCGTAATATATATATATATATATATATATATATATATTTCTGTTCAAAATAACGTATAAACAGAAAATATATCATATATATGTGTGTCTGCGTGTCTGTGTGTGTATTTAGGCAGCAAAATCTGTTTTAGGGTGATTAAATTATACACATTATGTCTGCTTATTTTTAGCATAATCCGTTCAAAATCACGGGTATTTTTGCGTGTATTACAATCAAATGATGCAAGAAAAATCAATTTTATTTCCCAAGTACTTTCCATGTCTTTTGAGGTCATCACCTGGGGGCAACTGGTAAGGAAAGCGTCAAGAACACCCCTACCCGCTCCTTGTTGAAAGAAACATCGCTACATATATAAAAGCTAAGGTCTCGGCACCATAACAGAATCACAACTGCATATGTATTTATGCCCGAACGCATGAATATGTATCTGCGTCTAGCGTTGTATTGTTTATATGGATGTGTTTGTGCGAACTAAAATGCATACACCTCTATATATGTGGATGCCTCTGGGTATAGAGTGTCACCCCAAACAAACGCAGAAGATCCCCCTCCCATCACCAAACATAGTCCAACAAGCATAAATAGATCCAATTAAAAAAAATAAACCAGTTTGTCTGATGATTGCAAAGACGTGAAAACCAGGGTCACAAAGTCATAGCCACACAACTGAATATGTTAAATCTATCCCTGATATTGGGCCCTTTTCACTAAGTAGTGAGCATATAAAATAACATATATATATATATATATATATATATATATATATATATATATATATATATCTGTGTGTGCGTTTTCAAAGATTTTCAGTTGAATAATATCGACAAGATTTCTCTAGCCAATTTTATTAATCTTTTCAAATTTGCGAATTAATTGTTTTATATAATCCGTAAATTTGCCAAATTTCATATTTTATATTTCATTTTATTTTTTTCTTCCGAGTACTTTCGATTATTAGATTCGTTTTCAGCTGGATTTCAGTACACGAACCCCTATGGAGAATGGTACCTTATTTAATGCTTTCTCCATAGTGGATCTTATATGAAAATACGCATAAAACACAGTTTTACCGTTTTAATAAGGTTACCTTGAGTACCTTTGAAACTGGTTCCAGTAAACGTGAGAACGGAAGAATTAAGCAAAAACAGTTATGTAAAAATACACAAAACAAAATCCATGAAAACTACAGTAGCAAAATCTGAAAAACAGAATAAAATATAAAAAAAAATATGAACTTAATAGATTATATAATATAATTTGAAATTTAAAAATTTTTTTAAAAAAATGGGATCGAAACAACTTGTCGATATTATTCAAGTAAATGTTTAAAAGAGTTCTTGCTACTGAAATACAGCTTATATATATATATATATATATATATATGTTACTCTTTTAAAACTTCCTAGACGTAACCCTAGACTTAACGAACAACGTTCACCTACCTTACAGAAAACCTAATACTAATCCCCTGTATGTACATCCTAAGTCAAACCACCCTCCATCTATAATTAAGCATATACCCGCATCAATAGAGAAAAGAATAAGTATGAACTCAGCAAATAAGGAAATATTCCAAAAACACAGTAGTTTTTACAACACAGCCCTGAAAAATAGCGGATACAAAAACGCTGACATAACCTATAGAAAAGATAGTACCAATAATAAGAAAAACAGGAAAAGAAAGATCATCTGGTATACTCCTCCGTACAACCAAATGGTCAGCACCAAACTAGGCCATAAGTTCCTAGCTTTAATTGAAAAGCACTTTCCCACTAATAGCAAACTTAGCGACATCTTTAACAAAAACACCTTGAAATTGAGTTACAGCTGCACTGAAAATATAGAAAGAATCATAAAAAGACATAAGAAAATCCTAGAAAAACACGCAAACCAAAACAGTAATAAAACACATAAACTAAAATTAGATAAAAATAACGAAAAATTATGTGATTGTAGAAACCCTAAAAACTGCCCGTTGGAAAATAAATGCCTCACAAAATCTGTGGTATACCAGTGCACTATCTCATCCATTGAGAGTCCTAACACTGATAGGATATACATAGGCTCAACAAAGAATAATTTTAAAATTAGATGGAGGCAACACAAGAGCTCCTTCAACCATATTCAAAATAGAAATCAAACATCTCTATCCCAATATTTCTGGCATCTAAAAGAAAGGAATAAAACACCAAAAGTAAAATGGAAAATAATAAATAAAACAAGAACCTGTAAAACCTGGGATGACCCATGTCCTTTATGCTTACAGGAAAAACTACACATCATTAAATTTCTAAACAATGAAAAATTATTAAACCACAGGCAGGAGTTAACGGTTTTTTGCAGACATCAACAAACTTTCGCATTAAATAATTAGCCTATAAAAAAAAAAATATCCCATAGCTAAGTAAAATTCTTAAAAGCAAAGCCAAATCATTAAATAGGAATAACCCTTTTTGTAGTCGTCAAAAAACAAAAAAACAAATTGAAATTCAGTGCAATGCGATCTGTATATAAAACACCCACTTGAATAAACAAATAAATAAATAGATAATCAGATGGACAATAATAAAAGACAATTCCCCAGACACATAACGACTTGTAGGCGCGCCATAAAAATATCCCTCACTGGGAACTAACTAAAGGGTGACCGCAAACATTAGCCTTGAAATAGATACCCTACTCAACCTTACCAAAACCTCTTAGAAGATGATGAATCTATTGATAAGAATTAACTCTCTGACCACTTAACGAAGGAAAATAGTCTTGCCACTCCCACAATAACGAATTCTGTAACAGACCGGGCCTAAAAACGTAAACCGACAGATAGCTTATTCCTAAAATATAATATAATATATATATATATATATATATATATATATATATATATATATATATATAGAGAGAGAGAGAGAGAGAGAGATAGATACACCTAGTGAGCCAGACAAACTTTCCCTGACGATCCGTTTAGGTGAAACCTAGGTAGCTTTGTCTGGCTCACTAGGTGTATCTAGGTCTGCTCTACGGTTGTATTGAGCTCTTTTGTTAGTTAGTTGTTACTCGTATCGGAGTTTTTTCTTTGGGCTTCAGACCTGCATCTGTGCGATTTTTTGTTGGCAGAAGTTCATGTTTGTAGCTCTTTCTTTTTTAAAACCTTTTTTCACTCGATATTGATTTGATTAGCAAATCAAAAATTCGAGGTTTTCGAAACGAGTCTAGTTATCTATATATATATATATATATATATATATATATATATATATATATATATATATATATATTCTTTCTGCAATTGATATTTATATAGAGAGAGAGAAAGTAAGAGAGACAAAGAGACAGAAAGCATTGCGTTTGTGAATTTTTTTTTTTTTTTGCATGAATATCTTTGTTACAATGTATCTATTTTCTCTCTTGTCCCAAGTCACTGAAAACGACACGGGTTACGTTGGTACTTCCACAAGAGGACATTTGATTTTATCGATGAATGGCCTGGGTAGACATGGATTCGTACGCAGTTTGCTAAGTGCCGATGAAGACCTTCACGTATATTGTGAGGGGTGAAAAAATGGGGAAAAGGCAAGTGAGTAGAACAAAGTGGAGAGAAAGAAAGAATAAAAAGAAAAGAAATAACAAACAAAAATGACGAAACAAAAATCGAAATATGAAGTGAAGACCATAAATTAAAAAGAATGAGACGGAAATTTTTAAAAAATATATAAATATTCGAAAGTTAATAATGACAAGTTAGATACAAAGAAAGAAAAAGAAAGAAAGAAAGAAAGAAAGAAAGAAAACTTTGGTGAGACATGTTACATGGGTCGAAAGAAATAAGTGTAAAAAAAAGAAAGTAACAAAATACGTTAAGCAAAATCTTTTCAATGAATTCGTTATATTTTGGACACGAAAGAAAGAAAGAATGAACGAAAGAAAGAATGAACGAAAGAAAGAAAGAAAGAAACAAACAAACAAACAAAGAAAAAGAAAGAAAGAAAAAAAAAGAAAGAAAGAAAAAATGAATGAATGAACGAAAGAAAGAACATTAAGCAAAATCTTTTCGGTGAATTCGTTATATTTTGAACACGAAAGAAAAGAAAGAAAGAAAGAAAGAAAGAAAGAAAGAAAGAAAGAAAAAAAAAAAAGAAAGAATGAATGAATGAATGAACGAAAGAAAGAATGAAAGAAAGAACATTAAGGAAATTCTTTTCGATGAATTCGTTATATTTTGGACACGAAAGAAAGAAAGAAAGAAAGAAAGAAAGAAAGAACATTATGGAAAATCTTTTCGGTGAATTCGTTATATTTTGAACACGAAAGAAAAGAAAGAAAGAAAGAAAGAAAGAAAGAAAGAAAAAAAAAAGAAAGAAAGAATGAATGAATGAATGAACGAAAGAAAGAATGAAAGAAAGAACATTAAGGAAATTCTTTTCGATGAATTCGTTATATTTTGGACACAAAAAAGAACACAAGAAAAAAAAGAGAAAGAAAAAACAAGTGTTATGAAAAAAAGTGCTATGAATTCTTTATGCTTTAAACACGGAATGAAAAAAAGGACGAGTTGCCTAGGAATTCATTAAGCGTGAAATACAGAGAAAGAAAGAAAGAAAGAAAGAACATTAAGGAAATTCTTTTCGATGAATTCGTTATATTTTGGACACGAAAGAAAGAAAGAAAGAAAGAATTTCACAATGCATGTACTGAATCGAAGGAGAGAAAATAATAGAATATATATTATCATGAAAGAAAAAGGAGGAAGTAAATATGAAGTTGTGTAACTGATAAAGAAAGAAAAAAACTAAATCAACACCGAGAAGAAAAAAAATTAAGAAACACAAAATAAAATTGAATTGCGGATTAATGAGGTTCTTTTATTTTTTAAATGGCCATCGATAAATCGTGAATTTCAATGAAGGAATCAGTCGACTTTTTTGTGACTCTAATCTTTCTCCATTTTCTTACAGTTGCAAGAAGGGGTACATCTGAGACCAATGTTTTCAAACCTGAAATTTTAAGCAGACACACTAACCCTAAATTTATTAAATAGCATAATTATTCCCAGTGAAACGCTGTTTAATGATCTCGACACACAAACAATTATTACAGTAGTTAGGTTCTCTCTTGATATCTCTACAGGCTTCATTCATTGGAAGCTATTCTTAATCATTTACCTGTGCAAGGACAGATTTTCAGTCAATGTTTTCGATAATTTTGAATGAGACTAACATCCATATGAAAGTCTCAATCAGACGAGGCTATTTAGTATCATGACTAGAATTTTTTGGGTAATATATTGGATTTGTATCAGTGTGCGGTGTTGGGTAAAACTAACACTAACGAAGCTTATTCTACATTCAATTTAACGATCTCTACACCTAAGGCGGTGCTGTGGTCTGAATTACTACCGGTTTGTGATTTAGTCACAACATATTATGAAATTGAGAACAATCCACCAGATAAGTCAGTTGGTCCCGCAGACAAGTTTGGTCCACAAACCTGCTATCCAACGTTTCAGTCGATTTATTGGTTTGCAAACAAAAACTTTTAGACTGGGGAAATGTTTTACAAGATAAAATTATTCCCGGACAATATCTCGAAAGTAGTAATGGAGTGAGGAGCGAAGAGGTTTGGTGATGCCAATTGCTCTTGCAGGATTTCGTTGGTAACAAAGAAAAGAGTACTGAACAGTTACGTGACATCTGTCTTCCTTTACTGCAGCGAATGTTGGACGGTCTCCACAAAGAGACTCGAAGCGATGGAGATGTGGTTCTACCAAAGAATGCTGAGAATATCATGGATCGATCGTGTGAGCAACGATGTGGTCTTAGAGAAGATGCAAACAAATGGGAGGCTTATACTTAACATCAGAAAGAGGCAGCTGAAGTTTCCTTGACGTGTAATGAGGAAAGTGGGTCTGGAGAATCTGATACTCACATGTCGAATAGAATGAAAGAGAGACAAGAGAAAACAACGCATGACATATCTAGCGGGCTTACGAAAGTGGATGACAGAACGTGATCTTGGGGAGGTGGCAGAAGGGCGGAATTTCGTGAGAGCTGCAAGGGATACGGAGAAGTGGAGAGTCATGATCGCCTACGCCCTGAAAGGACACGGCATAATAAAAAGAATGAAGAATGAAATAGTGTTTATTATTTTTGCTGTCAATTCTTAAGAACAAAGAAAAATGTATAACACCGCTTTCATGTTCAGGTTCAACTACAATTCGTGGACATTGTCCAGAAAGAACACCTTTGTAACCCCCCCCCAAAACACACATTCTGAAACATAAATAATGATATATAATTCTTATGGTTACAGAGCAGGCTGTTTTGTTCTACTAATATATGTTGCGGACATATACACAACATTTGTCCATAGGCGAATTTATATAAATAGATTCCATTTCAGATTAGATAAACGGTGTTTCATTAAGACGGATTATATATATATATATATATATATATATATATATATATGGGTGTTTCATTAAGAAGGATCAAAGTTAACAGTAAATAATTCAGTGTCACTGGTGAAAGTTTATTTATTTCTCTATTGGATCATGTTATTTAAGTCATGGCAATTATGTGTGAAAAATAATATCGCCCAAATTTTCGACAAATCTGAAAGAAAAAGAAAAAAAATCATTAGACCCTTAAACTTAATTCACATTAAAATAGGTCCAAGTTATTGGAACACACTTTATTTTTAACACTGAATTGTGGCATCTTATAATCGATTGTTCTGTTTTTAATTGGGAAAATGAAATAACAGTGGGTGTGCCACCAAATAAAAAAAATGCATACAAAAGAAAATCTTAATTAAAATAATTAACAAAAATTGATTCATTTGTTTTTCACCAAAAACTATTCTACAAGCTGAAATGATTAATTTTATTGCATATCAATGTTTCGTCTGTGAAGTGCATTTTTGTTTCCGTTCGTATTGGAGATTGTCTTAAAATCCATTGACAAATTACAAACATTACATGCAATGAAGAAGATGAACCGATACAAAAATATATGCATTTAAAAGGATATTTTTAGTAATTTAATAAAGCTGTTACATATAAAACTGAACTTATACATTATTCTCTCGAGATCTGACAGTAAAAATGCTAAACATTAGTTATTTGTTTAATTGTTTTTTTTAAGATTATGAAAGAACTATGTAAAAACAATAACACTATTTTTTTTGCAATAGAACAGATTTTAATTTTTGAAGATATATATATATATATATATATATATGTCTGTGTGTGTGTGTGTGCGTGCGTGCGTGCTTAGGTAGCAAATTCTATTTTAGGCATGTCTGATTAAATAAATCACTAACATTATGTCTGCTTATTTTTATCATAATCCGTTCATATTCACGGATATTTTTTTCTGTGTATTACAATCAAATGATGCAAGAAATGCACTTTAACAGTGAAAATAACTTTTATTACCCAAGTACTTTCGATCTCTCTCTTAGATCATCCTCAGGGGTGCAACTAGTAAGGCAAAAACTATGTGTAACTATCCATTTCTGATTTTTTTTTTCTTTTTGAGTTTAAACGCAACGGCTGACAGTTTTCCTTTAACGTTCATTAGAACTTGGAAAAATGAACCACTAGATAATTTATTTCTTTTATGTTGGAATTTTATGGTCTAGCGCGCATTAAAGAATGAAAAATGTTCTTTTTATAGGCATTTTAGAACATGATTACAATGTTCGTACGTATTCATTTCAGTGTCAGCTTTAATTTTTTATGAAGATTGCGCCGAGTATCTGTAGTTTTAATTTGTTATTTTCTTGGACTAGGATATTTGTGTTGTCAATCAGTACTTTTCTATACAGTGAATTTAGACAGGAATGTTGGTATAAATGTCTTGCAATGCATAATAAAGTGATAATAAAGTTGTCGCATATCCAACATATATATATATATATATATATATATATATATATATATTATTGATATATATATATATATATATATATATATATATATATATATATATATATATATTGTCAGAGATACATTCTCTCAAGGGACATGTTGGTTTTACGTAATACATCAGTTGGCGGGTAGGAGTTATTGCGAATAATTAAATTGGTTGTGTTGTATTTTTATAATACACACACACACACACACACACACACATATATATATATATATATATATATATATATATATATATATATATAGCATTCTGAATATAGGCCTGGTTGGCTGTATCACAGTTCATCAATATATATATAAATATATATATATGTGTTTGTGTGTGTGTGCGTGTGTGTGTGTGTCTGTGCGTGTGTGTAATCGACGGAAGTAACCGAATGACTAAATACAGTGTCGTTGTGTCCAACTCAGCATACTTTGGTCCCTACGTCCAGAAAAATGTTCGTCCTGGGCAAGACGTTAAAATACATCCGCGTCCTGGGTAAGACGATAAACTACGTCCAGCAGCAAAGCCTCTGATCAAGAGGTTTTGAGAAGCGTGAAACTACCTCTTGCTGGTGTTTCCAGGTCCACCCTGACCCGGGATGGTAGCGCCTGTTAGGGTTCCAGCTATGGGCAAAGAGTTAACTATTACCAGCAATACTTTTTTGAAAAAAAATCATTAATAGCAATACAATTTGGAAGGAAAAATATTACCAGAAACAGATTTTTGACAAAACAAAATATTACCAGCAATAAAAAATTTTGTCGGCATTAAATAACCCATTGAGGTTGATATGCCGTAAAACAAAATAAACCAAACCAA